GTAATAATCAGTACAGACAATACAGCATTTTGACCCACACTCCATTCTAGTAGGTAGCAATAATGCACACCACAAGTTGTTTGCCAACTGCCAAAAAAATAAAAATAAAACAACAACAACAACTGGTTTTGGAGGAATTGACAAGTTCTCACTTTATTTCTGAGTAAATATTTGTAAATAATGGATAGTGCCAGTTATACAAGTGATCAAACTCTCATACAGAAATTATAKATAGAGTTGTTTTAATGTAATGTTGTTTAATGTTAATGTTTTGTTGTTGTTGTTKTTTTTTCTTCTTCTGCTCTKGGAGAAGTMAGAYGCTTTTCCCCTCTCTCCTGCCTTCCCTTATCTTCCCTGCTTTGCTGCTCGGARMCTCCTCTACGTTTTCATCTGAAACAACTYCCCCTGGATGTTTACGTCGACTTGAGGCTTGGCCCCCACCTTCCCCYCTCTCACTCCCATCTGTAATCTGGTTCCTCAAGCTTTTGGGGACTAGACAGTGGTGGAGGAAGTACTCAAACACTGTACTTCACACTGTACTAACACAGGGTCCTTGATTTTCACCCAAAAAAGTCTTTAGTTTAAGCCGACAGCTCTAATGCTGAGGTATTGTTCATGACAATCAGCTGAAAGAGCACTTTAAAGGAGTTATTCACATTGTTCAAGTTGGAAATCTATGGACATGGAATGAACATCTTACCTGTACTTCATGAATGACATGGGATGTTATTTGGCAACAGAACACAAATGGCTCAGACTTATGTGTAAAAAAAACCCTCAGTCTTCTACACAAATAAAGATGCAAGGCAAAACTGTTGTCTGTGTAAATATTTATAAAATACAGCTGACATGGACCTTTGGAGACCAGAATTGTTTTAGGATGGCAGCAACCCATTTTGGTCTTGGCACACCTCTTTTAGCTCATTAATCTTTAAAACTATCTCAGCTAGAATTTGGCAAATTCTAGTTGGGATTTGATATGATTTTTTTTTCCAAAAGTGGCTTATTTTTTGCCGCTTAACGATGAAGCTTGAACTGATGAAGAACACTGGCAACAGTTGTTGCAGTTTTTCCAATCTTGCCTGGTGAAGCTTTTAACTCCTGCAGCATGGTCACTGGTGTTTTGATGGCCTCTCTCAATATTTCTCACTCAGTTTTCGAGTACAGCTGCTCTTGGTAGATTTCTCCTGTTCCTTTCATTTCTTGATGCTGATTAAACAGCACTCCGGGGTTGTTTAGGACTCTAATGCTCCCTCATACTCAGACGAACTGAGCCATGCAGACTCCATGCATGCTGTCRGTGGACGGTTGAGCCTTCAAGAGTACTCATCACCTTACAAATTCCTTTATCTTTCACAATTTCAGTCATGGCATCAACAGACAAGGAGGAAGATATTTCTTTTAGCATCAAAAAAAAAATAAAAGAACTTACCTTACCCAGGGTCTGAGCCATTTCCTCCTGCTTTGCTCTCTGATAGTCCTTATATTCCCTCATTGATGGATCGTTTTCTGTTTTCTAATCTCTGTGAGACGCTCTTCAAACATTGACTCCATTTCATCAGCAAGATGATGACACAGTTTCTCACAGTTATCTACTTGGTGTCGCCTACAAAACAGTTTGATGTAACCTCGTTGAGCGGTTTATTTTGCGACACTGAGGATACGCAGACTGCCAAGCATGCCAGAGTATGTGGGGCCCTTTAGGCATTCTTTATCAGTGCTGGGCACAGCTAGCCAAAAAGTAAGGTTCACTAACCAATAAACTGCTAAACAACAATCTTAATTCTGCTAACGCTAAACTGCTAAACAGATAACAAAATCAGTGGAAGCTAACTGCTAAGAATCCCTCAGCCTGTATCACACATCTTCATCTCCTTCCAGTTGAAGACTGGTGGGACAAGACAGACACACACCTGTTGTTTGTTTTCTATTGGCTCCATTTGAAGGTGGGTGGGATCATCTGTGGCCAATCAACCAATCCAAACCCTGCATTAACGTAACCTTTTCAGAACAAAAGTATTTCTTTGATCAAGTTCGTATTTGTATAAATAGTTTGAAATTAGTCAAACTAATAGCAAATACTTTATCCATCATATTTTATATGTAGTCAGTTTTTGTATTTGTGGTGATCTCGCTTCAAGCAGCGTCGGGTATGGGAAGCMGTAAGTGCCACAAAACGGGAACTTTACAACGCGTTAAACTCAGAAAACGCCGTTTTTTAAGTTTAATGGTGCGTTCACACCAAATGCGATTTCAGCATCAGGAGCATCAGGTTTACATACAAAGTCTATGATGGACGCGCTTCAATCAGCATTGGGAAGAGCTGCGGTGCCTCAAGCGCGATTAGAGCAGCGCGATTTGAACGATTTGAGCGATCTGAGCGTTCGACGCGTTGAGGCGCAAATTGTTGAAGTTAGAAAATTTGAACTTTTGCAGCTCGATGCGCCGCGTCAACCAATCAGAGAGACTCCACTGTGTGACGTAGCGACATATTTCCCGACGGGACAGTTTACTGAATGATGTCCACTAACCTGAAACAGATGGAGAGGAGCTCTTTAGCTGAAATCGAGTGCCTGCAGTCGGTGTCCTGACAGGAGATATCCGCACCAATGAGTGGCAGCGGCTCATCAGACTGGACTCGGGACAAAAATAGTCCTGAAAGCGAGCTGTGAGCCTCTCCCGCAGCTTCTGGGTGATGAAACTCAGAATGTCTCTGAATTATCTGGTGAATTAATTATGAATTAATTATCTGATGAACGTGACACGCTCTTGCTCTCTGTAAATAAAGCAAAGCCACTTCCTCGTCCGACATTAAACAGAGCCCGACAGAGGAGGAAGGGGCGGGGAGGCTGTTGCCTTAGCGCTTCAAGAGCTGACCTGCGTCTGACCTCAAAGTGCACATGCGTCCAATTGAAGCGTTGGATGCGATTTTGAAGCTGAAATCACGTTCGGTGTGAACGCAGCATAACGCGTTGTAAAGTCCCCGTTTTGTGGCACTTATGGCTTSCCATAYCCCTGTGCATTGGCCTCGCGCGGTGTCCTGCTGCATGATCCCGCACCTCCCAAATTTTGAACCATTCAAACAGCCTGTTTGTCACGCTTTTGCTCTCCTGTGTACAGAATTTCACAAGTTATAAAGTTTACTGCCACATGTTCTTTTGGAGAAATTTACAACAATGTAAGCACCAAGAATAATCCACTGGAGAGGGTGAGCGCGCGACCTGTGCGAGTACCAAAGCGCAACTATAACCGAAACTTTATGCTGTAGAAATTTGATTTCACTTCTTCTGTTTGATATGTATTCAGTTCATAATTAACTGTGTTTTAACTTGAAAATTGTAAACTATTACAAGATTTTGTGATAAATGTGTTGAACATGTAGGTCAAGTTATACAATCAGCTTTCTGAAGTGGAATAACTTACAGCAGCGGCAATAATCACACCAGACCGGTTCATTTCAAACATTTCATTATTTTCTCCACATCAACTTTGAAACAACCTCATAAACCAAAGAGTAAGAAAAAGCATGCTTGGGCATGCAATGATGTCACAACATGATGATGCCACTGGGTGCGAAGTATAAAACACACAGCAGCAGAGAGTTGATTTTTTTTTTTTTTTGTTTCATTCATAAACTCGGGGATGTCTCTGTTTCCACGGAAAGTTAGAAGCTAGCGTTTATTTTACACGGCTCTCAGTCATGTTTTCACACAGCCTTTTTGTGTTGCTGGGGAAGAGAGACTCACAAACCAACACCAGATTGAGCAGGCTGAACAAACATGCTGAAACTAAAGAAAGAAGGAAAACTTCATCCGGCCCAAAAAGTGTCTGAAAACGACACAGTAGAAACCCAATTTCCACCCCCCCACACTTTTTGACTATTCCAAAAAGAGGGCCTGGGAGGGAGAGCAAACAGTGCATGCCATTTCAGGGTGAAGAAGGTGACGAGGTGAGACTTTTATAAAATTTCAAAGGTTATTCGTCTCCTCGCCACTTGCCTGTGGGTTTTTTTTTTCCATCAGTCCAGATTTGGGATAAAGTTTTAGAGGAAAACTTAATAAATACGAGGCACTCGGCATTCTCTCTGTTTTGCAAACTACAAAAAGTAACAAACCTTTGAATAATAATAATAATAATCATAATGATAATAATAATAATAATAATGACACATCGACATATATAGTAGATTTAGTGGTTATAACGTAACAGTCTCAAGGCTGTACAAAGGGGAAAGGCTGAAGCCTCCTCCGTGTGTTAGCAGTCATGTGTTATTCTCCGCGTGCGAATGTGTGCATGTTTATAAATTCAGGCGTGTGTTGGCGCTCGATTTTGGGGATTCAAATAAAAATCTGATCGGAGTCGATGATCTGGTTGGAGGTGAAGGTGAAACGGTGCTGATRATTACTGGGATGGAGTGCAGACAAATGAGGACAGAACCGAGTTAAAGGGATTAAAAAATGCACTTTTTCAAACCGCACACAGCCTCATGCAACACGTGTGTGTGTGTTTGTGAAAGTTCAGAGTGGAAAAACAAAACAATCATGACAGAGCCCTTTAAAATGAATCTATTCTTGCAGCATAGTTTTGTATGTAGCGCATAGTGCCAATAGAGATTGAAAGGAGGAAGATTTAAGGGGTTTCAGGATGGACTGTGTGCAATGCTCTTTGTTTGCATGACCTTCATGATAACCAGAAAACAGTGGCTGCTATATCTGTGCCATCTCTGGTCTGGCTCGACACCCATGCACGTGTGTGTCTCYACACCTTCTTGTTAACGCTGACTCAAAAGTCTTTTACTTCATAGTTGAGATCTGAGTAAAAGCATTTGAAAAGGGTCATTTTTGTAGAAACTTAAACAGGCTTCRAAGGAGTTGAAAAGACTGATAGCAACATTAGAAAGGCTCTGAAGTCAGTCACTGAGGCTGCAGGCTCCAGTCCAAGACGTCCAGTGTCCATCACTGTTTTTAATAATATAATAATATATCATAGTTATCAAGAAGACTTTGTAGATTATGCCTGTATAAGCTTAAATAAAGAAGTGAATGAAAAGAATGGCTACTCCAATATTGAGTAAAATGACCAAAACCACCAGAATAGAGCTGGAGCCCTRAAAAACAAGACAAAAGAAAAAACAGTTAGTCCACAGGAAACAACACAAACACACATGACAGTGTGAATACATTACAGTTGTAGCTAGAGATGAACTGTCATGAGGCTTTCTCTACTGCTGATGCTGATCATCAGAAGTCAGGGTATTGATAAAAATATATTAATTATTTTTAAAAATATAACAGTTGCTTACAGTGGTTCCCAAACAATGACACCTTTAATCCTCCCGTCTTTGTGTTTATGTGGGAGCCCTGTCAACATCTGTCTTATGTTAGCAGTGTCCAAGCACTCTCTTTTTTTTTTTCATTAAGTGCTGCCCCCTGCAGTACCACTGCGCCCCCCCTCCCCCCCTGTGGGGCATGCCCCSACTTTGGAAACCTCTGGCTTAACCAATAGTGTAATATTAAAATAGACAGAAAAACAGACTTGCTTAGAAAAGCTCAGTTGTGGGCTGGCTGTAGCAGCTGCTGCTGCAGCTTCGCTTTCCTACTCAGTAATTTATTAAATATTTACAGAAACAGTTAATTGTAGAATTTTCAGAAGTGGGAACTCCATCAGTCAGCTGATTATTGATCTGTAGATGTGGTGTAATAATTCGTTTCAGGTTATTATGTAACAATATTTGTGCGTATAATGTGGTTGAAACTGCAGCAGAAACACGTTTTTACAGAAAACCTAAATCCTTCATGTGTAGTGTTAATATTTTGTTTGGACTTTAAAGGGATAACTCAGATCTTTTAAGGTTGGACCCTGAACAATATCTTACCTGCAGTGGATAGCTCTTTGAGTGACCTCAGATGAGACATAAAGTTCATTTTGACAAGACTGGCAAGCTAATAGCTTCACTTGCCATTAGCTCATCAGGATGGTCAGAATTAAATTCAATTTCTTCAAATTGAAGTTGTTCAAAATGCTTTTTACCACTGATAAGATAATAAAAACAGACCCCAACTCAAATAAAATCTGACCTATTACTTTAAGTGAAAAATTAGATTAGAAACAAGATTTTTTACATATTAAACATTAACTGAGCTTGGAACATTGAATTATGTATTTTTGGAGTGTGAACAGCTGTGAACTGAAAGAGTTTCAGGTAAATTGAGAAGCAAAACGTATAAAAAGCAAACAAAATAAAAAAATTAATTCAGTCACCTTAAAAACATTCTTATGACTCTAACAGAAGTATTTTTACTTTACTTTACCACTAGCTTACTGATTTGAACAACAAATTTGTAAAATAAAAATACAAGAGTATTTTAAAACAGTTGTACATATTTCCTTCTGATTAATGTTTCTTCAAAATCCTGTAATTTACGCCGATGCCTGCAGATTAACAAAAAAACATTCTTGAAATGTGACCTCTTTTCCATACTTACTCCTTATGAATCCAGTAAAGAAAAAAGTTTATTTAATAAGTGTATTTATTTAAACATCAGCAGGGACATTTCTGTCTTTCATCTTTTAGAAACTGTAGTATTCTTATTGGCCACAATAAATAAAACTGAATATTTTAAAGTTTTAAAGTCCTCATTATTTATTTGTCTTGTTCTGAATAATGGGTTGAGTTTCATTTTYTATGCTCTAAATTCATTGAATTGTTTCACTTCAAGAGACTTTTAAGTCCTTTATTTTCACATTTAAATCCTTCAGTTTTGGGTCTATATAAAGGGTAACTGCAATGCTTTGGTCTGAATTCATGGTTTTTATAGCTCCACAAGCTCACAGCAACTCGTTTTGGTGCTGTCTCTTTAAACACAAATGAGGCACTTCAAGCCACGCAGATATAAAATTATCTAGCAGCAGAAACTTTGTAAAACTTTTTTCTTAGTGGAGCCTATGAGACACGATGATGAAGCAGCCTTTTTTACACAGCTGTGTCCCAATTCAGGGGCTGAAGCAAAGTCCTAGACCATGGCCCATGGAGGCCACAGCCTAGGCAGAACTGGTAGTCTGCATAAAATGTCTGAAATGACACGGATGAAACAACTAGTCTTCACTGACCGTTTATTTGCCCACACACTGGTGTAATGTTTTACATTGTGTGACTTCAGACTTAATTTGCATTGGGACATTCACTGGAGGAATAACTTCACTAGAAACTAGATATTGAAATATCGATACTACCGATATCAGAACTTTATGGTCTAGAATCGACACTAAAATCAAAATACTTTGATACTTAAGTCATTTCAGGTAATGATCATTAACAGGAAAACAGTGGAAAATAACTCAACTATTCTTGTCTAAACCATTTGTGGTTGGAGGGAACTACTTTTTCTTCTGCTGGGGTGATGCATAAGTGCAGTGGCATGTGCTCAGGCAGTCACTCAGTCTGTAGACGTTACATGTATGGCATGTCATTTTAACATAAAATCTGCTTCTTCTGACTGTCTGTAATTACATTCTAGATGAGAGCTTCCTAAACTTTTTCCTGCCGTGGCCCAACAAACAGTATTAGATTTCTGGCCAGGAACTCTATTGCAAACCTATAAACAATGCTACAAAATATGCAAGGTAACAACTTTTAGAATGTTTTTATCACTTTCATTCACTATTCAAAAATTATTATATTTGTTTAGCATAAGAACTTTAAATTATGCTTAACAAATATGATTGGGTTAATATTAGAAAGACTTTTAAATCAGTAAATAAATTCCTCTGTCTTGTATTTTTTTATGAAGCAGTTATTTGAAAAACACTACTTTTTAAGTTTTACTAAAAAGTTTTACTTGGCATCAGTATTAGAAAGAAATTTGGCAGGGCTAATTTTAATAGATGTACGTAAGTCTGCCATTTTAAGACATACTGGGCTGAGTTTGCTGTGGTATGATAGCTATAAACAATCCTCATACTGACTCCAAATCAAAAGTCCAAGATGGCTGCCTAAATGGAAGAAATGACCATAGATCAGCCATTTTTAGCCATACTGAGGAGGAATCTGTATGGTTGCTGATGACAGAGTTCTCCAACAAATAGTAAACTCAAATCTTATTTTAAAGTGGATGTCACGTGGCAAGCCTTTAGTTTCAACTTTAATTTACCATCTCAATGCAGCATAAATTTCTTCAGGTAAGTTTTTAAACATACATTTAAAAACAAATTCTTCTGTCCRTGACAAATGGAAATTTCCATACTWCACCAAATTGTTAATWAAAAAAACTCAGCCGTCTTTGTTTTCCAGTTTAGAATCCTGGAATATCCTCGGCCAGGAAGGATACTCAGATGTAGCCCATGAACTGGGGCAGCCTTCAGTAAGGGGCAGTGAGGTAAATGTGGACAAATGCAGACTTCAAAGGGTGCAGCCCTTGAATTGAGACACTGCCTATGCCTTGGTGCTGTAGAAATAAAAACAGCACTGGAGCCAATTTAACAGGTATTTTTTTTCTGCATGTCTCATTTCATATTGACCCTGTTCAATTAAACTTTGTGTGCCAAAATCTGTCAAACTGAAAAGAAACTGTAAACTACATCAAAGAAAGTAATAAAATGTTTTACAAGAATCTTTAGTCAAGCTCAGACTGTTCTTTCTATGAACTATTGTATGATGTTAATGTGGATGTTCCCAACACTTAGTGGTGTAGCATGGATATCTTATCCTTGGTCAAATGAGTGGTTAAAGACTTTTGATATATAAATTATGATAATGCTTGTRGTAGTGTAAACACTCATAATATCAGTTAGTGTGTGTCTGAACTCACTGAGTTTGATTTGAGAGTGAGAATCTCTCCTTCCTGCTCCAGAGTGATGGGCTGAGATTTTAAAGGTGGGGAGAGGGTGAGGTCCCTGTGCAGTGGCCACTCCTCCAGCTCTGCCCCCACATTCAGATTGTCCAGCATCTGGACAGAGTCTACCGAGTCCTCTCGGACTGGCCGAAGGCCTCGGGATCGCAGCCTGTTGTTTTTTGGGGCAGGGGACTCCTGACCCAGCCCCAGAGTCGTCTGTGAACCYGGAGAGTGAAGCCTTATATCAACCATGTAGTCGTTCATCCTCTCTTCGTCCTGCTCTGTGATGCGAGCGTGGGCGGGGCTCCACCTGGGGGTACCTTCAGGAGTCCACCCTCCAGTGAGGCCATCTAGCCTTTGGTCTATYACTGCATGGTCCTTAAGCTTGTGGTTGGAGGGGTTGTGCTGCTTTGGATGGTAGTTGGAGTAGGCATGCTCTTGAGCACTGTAACTGGAAGAGATGTGGTCCTTTGCATTGTGATTAGAGTTGATAAAATCCTGGGACCGATGATTGGAAGAAGCATGCTCAGAAGTTGTGTCATTGGACGTGTTATGTTCCAAGGCCCTGTGATTGGATAAAATGTGCACCTGTGGCTTGTAGTTGGAAGAGGCATGCTCTAAAACCTTGTGATTTGTGGAAGAATGATCACGTGTTTTATGATTGGAGGATGAGTAGTCCCTTGATTTGTGATTGGTGGTGGCATGCTTGGACAGCTTTTGGTTGGAAAAAGAGTGCTCCCATGCTCTGTGGGAAGAGGCGTGCTCCCGGGATTTGTGACTGGACAAAGATTTATCTCGCGGTTTGTGGTTGGACAGAGGGGCCTGCTCATAGCCATTGATTTGTCCTTCCTGCTCCTCAAGAAGTGAAGGTGTGGTGGAGCGACTGCTGCCTCCTCGCTCTGGATACATGTGATCAGTCCAACTGTTAGTGCCAGGCCTTGGTGGATCCATCCCACGCCCCTCTACCAACACCTGAATTTCAGCCCCRCCTTGATCGTCCACTGCACTTTGTCGCATAAAGCAGGCATTTTTGGGGCGGTGGGAGTGCTTTGTTGGGCTGTGAGGGGGCGAGGTAGGAACGYTCAGCACAGGGCTGAAATCAGGTGTTATTACAGGTGGCGTGGTGTCTGGAGTGCACAACTCTGGACTGTCTGTTCCTGTGGAAATGACCTCATGATCTTTGCCCTTGGCATCCTGGTGTTTTGGTGACTGACACTCGAGCCCTATGAGAATAGAAGAACAGGACCAGTGAGACATAAATAAGAACACTTTAGACTATTCCAAAAAGCCGGATGACTATATATTGTAGATAGTCTACAATGAATTAAATACTGATTTTGAGCATATCCATTAGGTAGCATATGGAAGAGCAAAATGCTCATATGAACAATTTCTACACAATTGAGGAGGGAAAGGAGTAAAACCAACCAATTCATATCACTGTTAATGAATTGAACTTATATTGAGTTTTATCAAGTCCACATGGACTCTATAGGCCACGTTCACATTGCAGGTCTTAATGCTCAATTCTGATTTTTTTTTAATCCGATCTTTTGTTGTGAATATTTACATTACATTTTTAATGCGACCTGCATCAGTCTCCAGTGTGAATGCTCCACAGTACTGATATGACAYGCATGCACAGTAAAGGACTCATTCAGACGGCTTGTTTGTTTACAGAGCTAGCATGGATGCTACTTTTAGCATGTCAAATCTGAAGTTATTGTTTAATCAGAGTTGATTAAATAATTATCTGACCTGCTTGTTTAGGTCAGTATTTATATCTGAACCTGCCTCTGACCAGATGCTCCGGTGAAGCATTTAATTTTGGAACAAAGCAACTTTCAAAAGGGGCCAACGCCCCTGTGGCCCCGCCCCTAAAACCACCCATGGGATCTAAACTTTATACAGCAATTTTGAATCTGCTGAGATGAAAGGTTTGAGTGGAAGATTTTTTCAAACACAGGAAGGATTTTTTTTACTTCCACTAGGTGGCACAGTGTTCATTGCACAACATTTGCAAAATGTTATTGTTATAGCAACTGGACACGCCCATTGTGTGCCTCACCGTTTCCGTAGACATGAAAGGAAGGTGAGAGCTCTTTGGCAGCTATCCGGGCCATTCGACACTCCTCCGTGGCTTTCTGTGCTACTCTTTCAGCAGCCTCAGCTTTCCCACGAGCATGACTCATCCTAAACACATCAAGATATTTACATTTACAAAAACCTCAGCTTTTAACAAAGCTGCATCCAATTTTGTAGACCTGTTTTCTTTGGCTTAATTTTTGGAAAATCGTGTTTATATACCATATTTTGTAGCTATACCTTAAAAAATAACTTATAATTTAAAAAACTGTAACACAGTATGGTGACATAGAATTTAAAAAATTTATCTCTTGGCCACGAGATAATAATGGGTGCCCACGCAATAATTAATGCGGCCAGCAATGGACTGAGCAGCCTTGTTGTGAGAGACACAAATTATTGGAGTCAGATTATACACGGCGGGTAAAATAAGTATTGAACACGTCAACATTTTTCTCAGTAAATATATTACTAGAGGTGCTAATGACATGAAATTTTC